TCTGCATTACAAGAAAGTTAATTTTCACAGATATACTCTGCATTACAAGAAAGTTAATTTTCACAGATATACTCTGCATTACAAGAAAGTTATCGTAGCATCGCTGCTTGCCATCCTTGATGCAGATGGTAACGTACTTTCAAATGTGGAACAAGATAATATGTTGCTAGATTTTCAGTTGAAATAAAGAGTCATTTCTTGGTTTCTGCTTATTCCTTGATTCCACATTCAAAAGGAGGATTTTCGAACTATTCAAAGAAAGTGCTTCCATGTAACAGAACCTTTCCTTACTAAAAATCTTGATTCTACAGAAAGTGTTTCCAAGTGACAGAAACTTTCCTTACCAAAAATCTTGATTCTACAGAAAGTGTTTCCAAGTGACAGAAACTTTCCTTACCAAAAATCTTGATTCTACAGAAAGTGTTTCCAAGTGACAGAAACTTTCCTTACCAAAAATCTTGATTCTTATCTTTTATTAGCAACAGTCTAGCACTAATATCTTTTATTAGCAACAGTCTAGCAGTAATGTTTTAAGTTGTTAAAAAAGTGTGATAATGTCGTATTAAAAAAGCATAAAATAAGACATAACTTAAATCCTACATTGGCAGTGGTATCTTACTGGAAACACATATTTTTATAATTTCTGAATGCAAAAAAGCATCTACTAACATTTTATTAAATAGTAACATTTATCACAGTTTTTCTTATCACAAAGATCATAACAGTTAATATTTAATTTTACATGTTTGGTTTTTAACTTTTCCATTATACACAGTAATGATTAATTAAGAAACCATCTGGTTATCATGTTATTTCCTAACAAAGTAATTTTTAAGATAACACATCAAATAATATTATTTAGGTAACAGGTTTCATTATATCAGAAAAAGTTGTTAGTAAACATTATCATTTTGCTACTTTGATGATGATAATATGACCATGAATGAAAACGAACATATCGATGCGACTCACGGTAAGACTATATCACTTTGAACGTGCTGTGAAGTCGTATGCTCTGAAGGTTTTCTCACTGACATGAGAAGCAGTACAACAAATGCAAAGATACCTTTTACCTATGGCAGACAGAATTGTAAATGCCGTTTTGGATTTTACAAAAAAACTGAATGGATCAGCATCTCTTTCCTTGGAATACAAAGCCTATTATCCTTCAACTTATTTATTGCTCTGTCGATATCATCATCTGGTATTATTGAAGGGAATATTTTCAGTATTTTCTGATACTTGAAGATTTTTGGTAAGGAAAGTTTCTGTCACTTGAAAATGCTTTCTGTAGAATCAAGATTTTTGGTAAGGAAAGTTTCTGTCACTTGGAAACACTTTCTGTAGAATCAAGATTTTTGGTAAGGAAAGTTTCTGTCACTTGGAAACGCTTTCTGTAGAATCAAGATTTTTTGGTAAGGAAAGTTTCTGTCACTTGGAAACGCTTTCTTTTTAGTGCTAGACTGTTTCTAATAAAAGATATTAGTGCTAAACTCTTGCTAATAAAAGAAATTAGTGCTAGACTGTTGCTAATTAAAGATATTAGTGCTAAACTCTTGCTAATAAAAGAAATTAGTGCTAGACTGTTGCTAATTAAAG